GCTGTCCTGCCCCTCACCCTAGGCTGTAGAACCCAGGAGAGCTGTCCCGCCCCTTACCCTAGGCTGTAGAACCCAAGACAGCAGGCCCTGCACCTCACCTGAGCCGCACAGGAGAGCTGGCCCTGGTGGTGGCGGTGTGAGTGAGCCAGCCCAAGGGTAGGAGAGCTTGCAGGAGAACTGGCCTCACCCTTGCTGCTGCAGCGTTAGGTAGCTAGCTGGTGCAGTGCTACACCACCCTGGTGATGAGGATTTAGAGAGCAGGAGGGCTGACCAACTCCACTCCCACACAGGTCCAGACCAGGGCTGTGAGTCAGCCCACCCCAACACCCACCCTGTCTGTGATCTGCTGAAGCACATAAAGGGGGCTTTCCTGTCGATCCAAAGCTGCAGGATCTCCATGATGCATGGCAGCTGCAGGATATCCAAGAGGAGTTCTAGTGAGGATCCGGTATTCATGGGTAGCAAGAGCCAGGGGTCTTAAATCAGGCCAACGACTCATCGTAGTGAAGACTTACAAGTGAAGATGTATAGACTGGAGGGTGCACTGTGTGGCTAATGGCAGGACTACAGCTTCCATGATATTTCTTTTATCTTTTTAATTTTTTTTCTTTTTTTTTCTTTTTTTTTTCTTTTTTTTTTGTTGGGAAGGTTGCAAGGGCAGAGGGTGGAATCAAAGGGACAGGGAGATGAGTTGTGAAATCCACAAAGAATCAATAAGGAGTTAAAGAGAAAAAAGATGCAATAGGCTATCAGGCCCTCTAGGACAAAGGACAAACCACTGCGTGACCGAGAAGATGAGTCGGGAGAGGCTGTGGAAAGGCAAGACAAGCGCGAGCTGAGGATTTTACACCTCGCCCTTTAGATAGCTGGATTGTGGGAAACATTAGCCAAATGCAGAGAAGCAGAAGCCAGCAAGTGCTGGTGAGGACATGGGAAAGAGTGCCTCCTGCTGGTGGAAATGTGAACTGGCACAGCTGTTGTGGAAATACCAGATTTTTCTAAAAAAAAAAAAAAAAAACACCCAAAGTAAAATTTAAAAAAATATATAGAGCCACCCCATGGCTTGGCTATGCTATTCTGTGTAGAGTCCCGGAAGACTTAATAATCCCTCTATGGAGATACCATATTTATTGATATTATATTTATAATACCTAGAAACGGAGCCAGCACTGATGTCCACTGATAGATGAATGGATAAAAAAAAACACACACACAATGGAATTTTATGCATCTTTAAGAAAGATAAAGTCATGACATTGTAGAAAAATGTGAAATTGGAAATCAAGTTGTGTAAAAGATATCAGACTTCAAAAGACAATGCTTACTTTCTCCCTTATGCAGGTCTTAAATCTTAATTTTTATATATGCATAAGTATGTACTTTGGTGATAGTAGTAGAGGCCAGGAAGCTAGAAAGGGCACTGTGAGAGGGGAAAATGAGGTGTTAAGGAGGCGTTGGGGAGGGGATGAAGGAGGGTGGCCTGGAAACAGAAGAGGCTCCTGGGAAGGGGAGTTGGGGAGGAAAGCAGGGGAAGTAAGGGAAGATGAAGAAAAACAAGCATGTATGGAAGTAGCATGAGACCCAGTACTTTGTAGGCTAAGTTTGAATGAAGGTTGAATCCCCAGAGAATAACGTAGAGGTGAGTTCATTCTGAAGAACCTGCTAGGACTGTGTTCTGAGAGTGAGCAAGTCCCCCACATCAGGGTCTCAAGGCCTGACTCTCAGCTCCAGCCAAGGCACCCGAGTCAGAAACTTTTGGGTGGAACTTGCCAGTTTGTTAGCGAGCCCTCCGAGGCCTTCCTGAGACAGTCTAGTTAGCGTAATCTTCTGGTTGGTTGAGGAAGTGTCAGACAACTATAGATCTAAAAGATAGAGACGTGATGGGAAGAACGTACAGAAAATGATACATCCGGAAACAGAACACGAGGAGGGACTACAGTCCGTCACGGCAGGGAAAACGTGGTGGCAGAGGCACGTGGTTTCAGGTGGCACTGGCCTGGTGGGAGCATGCGTGAGCTGCTTGCTGGCTTTTCAGTGGGTCAGGAGGTAGAGACGGCAGAAAGCAGGCTGAGCTGTGCACCTCAGGGCCTGCCCTGTCTAGATACTCACTGCGAGCCAGGCTCCACTTCTGAAGGTCCAGTCTCCCTAGGCAGCAGTGCCTAGGGGAGCAGCTGCTCACACATGTGAGCCAGTGGACACTTCACATTCAAACGATAGCATACATGTATAACATTCTAAACTGTCAAGACAGGCTGGAAAGATGGCTCAGCTGGCAATGCACACTGCTCTTCAGAGTACCTGCGTTTAGGGCCTGGTATCCCAGGGATCCGAGGCCTCCTGCTCTCCTCTGCAGGGGCTGCACTAGGTCTCGCACAGACCCACACACAGGTGCACGCACACACACACACACACACACACACACACACACACATGAGTTAAACATCTTCAAACTGTCTAAACAGTAAAAAGTTAAGGAGAACTACACACATCCCCAAAGACACAATGACAGAGGTGACCAGCAGAAGAGCCCAGGACAATAGAGTCTGTGACTGTGCCCTTGACCTGCCCTGAAGCAGCTCAGAGGAGTTGATGGGTGCAACTGGGGAAGAGAGACCTTGAGTGTGGAATTTCAAGACAGAGTGAACCAGGATCACGTGTGTCACTGCTGCAGTAACTGATGGAGGCGAGTCTTCATTTGAGAGGGAAAAAGCAGTTGCAACAAATGGCGAAAATTAGTATGTTTCCTGTTGCTGCAGATTTAAACCTGAAATTACTCTAAAATGAGAAGTTTGAAGAGTGAGGTTGATCATTTCGAGCTATAGGTATTCCTTCCCCTGGTGTGTCAGCTCACTGTGAGTGGTAGATCAAGGTGTTTGCCTTTAAAATATCTGTTCTTCAGTCTTTTTTGTTTGTTTGCTTTGTTTTTTCAGGTCAGGATTTCTCTGTGTAACAGTCTGGGAACGCACTTGTAGACCAGGCTGTCTTCGAAGTCACAGAGATCCACCTGCCTCGGCCTCCTGGGCTCTGGGATTAAAGGCATGCGCCACCATGCTTGACTTTGTGTTTCAGTCTTGATTCAGATTGAGTGATTTCTATTGCAGTAAGAGGGCAGTGAGGAATAGTCACACGAAAATATTGTTAGATGAGAACACTGGGAAAATATATTTGATTATTTCTTCACATTTCCTGTCCTGTAAACTTCATGTGTATAAAACAAGAACTTTCTGTATTACTTAAGCTTTTTCCTCCACTGTATGTAGTCCAGTAGAGCATCCAGAAAGGAAAGTCTGGTTTTTTCTTTGTGACAATATTAAGACTCGGGGATAATGTGAACTAAGATTCTCAGCTGCAGTGAATACAGATGGCATTTCATTGTGTGTGTGTGTGTGTGTGTGTGTGTGTGTGTGCGCGCACATGTGCGCATGGCAGAATGTAGGCATGTTTGCATGTGTGAGTGTGCAAATGCATGTGTGGAGTGTATTCATGCTTGCACGTGTATAGCTACACATTCACCTGTGTGTATGCGTGTGTGCAGTGCAGAGTGTAGGAATGCTTGCAAGTGTAGGTGTGTGTGCATGTGTTGTACGTGTGTATACACGTGTGTGTGTGTACACATGTGTGTGTGGTAAGGTCTGAAGTTGACCTTGAGTATCTTCCTTGGTCTTTCTCCACTCTATTTATAGATAAAGGATCTTTCACTGGATTCGGAGGTTATAGTATCTTCCTAGTCTGGTTAACCACTCAGCTTGTTGTCTTTGTGTCTTCCTAGTGCAAATATTACAAGCAGCTGCCATGGCTACCTGGCTTCTTTGTGAGTCCCAGGGATCAGAACTCAGGTCCTTAAACTTGTGAGTCAGTTGTTTTAATCCAGTGAGCCATTTCGTCTCTCTAGCCTGATACTTCCTAATATTTAAAAATTCACGAGTTGTAGCCTTACCTCAGATTTACAAGCAGTGGTACAGGACTGTTTCTGTTTTTTAGATATGGATGTGATGAGGCCCTTAATAAACGAGCAGAATTTCGATGGGACGTCGGACGAGGAGCAGGAACAGATGATCCTGCCGGTGCAGAAGCACTACCAGCTTGACGGGCAGCATGGGATTTCGTAAGTGCGTGGGCCCTCGGCTCTGCTGGACACTGTGTGCATTTCTTAGTCTCCCACAGCTCTGGGTGTTTGACAGGATGCTATAAATGACAGAGATGATTCAGAAGATGAGGAGTCAGATTCCTAGATGTTTTTAGTATATGAGAGAAGGATATCAGGATACTAAGCAGCATGGGGATTTCTCCAGTGGTGAGAGAGATCAAATCCTGTGTCCCTCAAAGAACGATGCCAGCGAGGAGACAGAAGGGTTAAGTGTTAGGAGGGTGGGGCTCGTGCAAAATGAGGAGGTAGGCTGCTGGCAGAGCAGGTTATAAAGCCTGTTGGTGTCTTGTCATCACCGAATCTATGCTTTAGTAGTAACTTAGTGGTTAAACATACTCACCTGAAATTTGATCCTGTATGAACTAAAATACTGAGTAAGTCTCGCCAGTTATTTTTCTTCCATGAGTTTGAAGATTATGCTTCTCTTAACTTCAGTTTGTTTCTTCTTGGTCAGGAAGACCTCCTCCAGTCAAGTCCTGAGGGAGCTCGTGATAATAGAAATTACTTTACCTGAGTATAGTGTTAAAACTTGTATAATAATTTTTTATAACTTACTTTTAGGGTGACAATCATAGATCAAATGTTTAGAACCATAGTAACCAGCGCCAGTAAGTCCTGTTTTACCAGCCAGATCCTCAGAGTTCTCGACACAAAGCAGATTATAAGAAAGCCAGATTTAAATCACTGTACTACATGCTCAACACTGACTGAAATGTTTTGTTTAATTTCCACAGTAATTCTTTGTACTTGGCTTTTATTGAGTAAAGATGGGACTCGACCCTAGGGTGTCCTCGTGCCTGATGGTGGGATGGAAACCATTGCTTTGTCCATTGCCGAGGTCCCTAGGTCGAACGTTTAAAAATCTTACGGCTTTCTCCTTCCAGATTCATGCAGACGCTGATGCATCTTCTTAAGGGAAACATTGGAACCGGCCTTTTAGGACTCCCGTTGGCAATAAAGAATGCCGGCATTGTGGTAAGGCTGTCTGTGCTCTCCACACCGGAGAGAGTTAGTTGTTACCTGGGCAGGTGGCATGTAGGTGGCCGTTGACTATTGTTCTGGTATAATTATGTGAACTGTAATCATGGTACCTAAGCCAGAGTGGGAATTACTGTTTTCATCTCTATGTGATTGCTTATTTTTAACACTTAGCAACAACAGACTCTCAAACCTAACCCAGGTCTTGATTTCTGAAGATGGGTGTGTCTCATTTTCGGCGGGCTGTCAGTGGCTGAAGCAGTGTGCCCACAACAGCTAATACATTAAGGGAATGGATTATATTCATGGTGTAACTTCCTTAGTATTTTAGAGTCAGAATAAGTATGCATGCAGTATTCCTATCTAAGAAAATGATTGAAAATAGTTGAAATGAGTAACGATGTCTTTTAAACACAGATATCAAAACAGTGCTAGAGACAGTATAATTGCTGCATTTGAAAACCATGTTGAGGCAGGTTCATGGATGAACTAAATTAGACATAACCTTTGAAATGTATTGGTTTCCATAGAGGTTGTAGCTATCCCATTTTTCTGGGTTTAACAGTCCTGTGTGTAAAGGAATTTTGATTGTTCAAGTAAGCTTTGCCTGATTCTGCTACCCAACCTGATCCAGGCATCCCTTTGAGTCTGCTACCCACCCTGACCCAGGCATCCCTTTGAGTCTGCTACCCACCCTGATCCAGGCATCCCTTGAATCTGCTACCCACCCTGATCCAGGCATCCCTTTGAGTCTGCTACCCACCCTGATCCAGGCATCCCTTTGAGTCTGCT